TGATCCAGAGGTGCGCTAGGGCGTTTCGCAGCTAATGGGAGTTTTAACGAGTGAGAATTCGTCAAACCACTGCACTCAAACCTATACCTTCAATTCATAGTCGGATCCGAACCACTCCTTTGATGACATTACTGCCTGTAGCCTACAAAGGAAGGCTGTGAGTCTCATTTTCATATGATTCAAAAAAAGACAATTCCTCAAGACACTAGCTTTTATCATCAACTATATTAGTTTAATTTCAAAAACTCAAGGCAGCGGTGTAGCCAGAAATTGAAAGAGAGTGGACCATAAATGACGTAGGAAGCTGTAGTAAGGTTAAGGAATTTTCTGTTGCTTAAAGAAATTTATCACATTAGTCTTCCCCCTCTTCCGTCCCCCCGCTAGCTGCATGTCTTCTTGAAAGGATAAATCTGACCTTTAAAAATAACTATATTGACTCTACATTACACAATTGCTAAGCTTATTAATAAATTCATAGATTTCAATATTAATACTCTATAATGTGAAAATAATAAAAATTAACAAGCAATTACTTAACAGCACTCAATAATAACCCTTATTTGAAATATTTACAAAATTTATTTGAAAATAATAAAGCATAAAAAACATTACAACTGCATCCAATTACAGGAGTCATAAATAAATATTTTAATATTTTTTTTTCCACATTCAAATCAATTAATTTTCAGTCACAATATGTCATTATGTGCGTCAACAGGTAACATTATAAGCACTTGTAATTTAACACCCACAAAAATAAAAATAAAATAATTGGCTAGGATTTCAATTAACGAACATGCATGCGAAAGCTACTGAATTTATTGACACAACCAACGAAAAAAAAATGTCTTGAAGCATTTTAAATTTAATTAAAGAGAAAAAACCTTCATTTCTAAGGTGCGCGCAGTTCGTTTAGACGCACTTAATTTTTTTCAAATTTTCCTTTAATAAACACTATTAAGACAAAAACTATTTTATGTGTTTATAGCTATGACCAATTAGGTTATAAATATAATAAAAGTACCTGACTAAATGCTTTGCTTAAGTAATTAAAATAATTTTTTCAAAAATTACAACAACAAAGTGCGCAGTTCGTTTAGACGCACTTTGAAAAATCTAAAATTTTGTCTTATTTACGTTTCGTAGAAAACTTAATCGTTTCTAATATTAATCTATCAACAAAAACGAGTAATTACTGAGGGTTTTAGAATTTTCCATCAAGTTTTTCCAGAGATTTTCCTTCATTAAAGTTTTCATGTTGCAAAAATTTTGATAAATTATTTATCCAATAATTTTGCGTTAAATTATTATTCTTTTAACTGATTTCCATAGATAATTGTCCATAATATTAGAAAATTAACAGATATTTAAGCTTTCTTCTAAGTATAAGGCGAAAATATGTGAAAAATATAATTATGGTGAAAAATTTCCACCACTCTCATAGATTAATCAACAAATTTTGACAAAACTGTAGATACCATAATAAATTTGAATAGACCAGCTTATTTATCGTATTAAACTTAGTTAAAAACAGAAAACTGCACAGCTCTATGGCTAATGGAACTTGAAAATTTTACTGAAAAATTAAGTTGTGGTGAAAAAATTTCACCATAGAAAAATAAAATTTTAAAAAACGTTGTTTTAGGCAATTGTTTCATTTAAATTAGGTTGTAAAAGTGTTTCTGTCTCAAAATTAATCAATTTAAAACATGAATTAAAACCTTAGACATTGTTTTTTTAAAATTTTATTTTTCTATGGTGAATTTTTTCACCACAACTTAATTTATCAGTAAAATTTTCAAGTTCCATTAGCCATAGAGCTGTGCAGTTTTCTGTTTTTAACTAAGTTTAATACGATAAATAAGCTGGTCTATTCAAATTTATTATGGTATCTACAGTTTTGTCAAAATTTGTTGATTAATCTATGAGAGTGGTGGAAATTTTTCACCATAATTATATTTTTCACATATTTTCGCCTTATACTTAGAAGAAAGCTTAAATATCTGTTAATTTTCTAATATTATGGACAATTATCTATGGAAATCAGTTAAAAGAATAATAATTTAACGCAAAATTATTGGATAAATAATTTATCAAAATTTTTGCAACATGAAAACTTTAATGAAGGAAAATCTCTGGAAAAACTTGATGGAAAATTCTAAAACCCTCAGTAATTACTCGTTTTTGTTGATAGATTAATATTAGAAACGATTAAGTTTTCTACGAAACGTAAATAAGACAAAATTTTAGATTTTTCAAAGTGCGTCTAAACGAACTGCGCACTTTGTTGTTGTAATTTTTGAAAAAATTATTTTAATTACTTAAGCAAAGCATTTAGTCAGGTACTTTTATTATATTTATAACCTAATTGGTCATAGCTATAAACACATAAAATAGTTTTTGTCTTAATAGTGTTTATTAAAGGAAAATTTGAAAAAAATTAAGTGCGTCTAAACGAACTGCGCGCACCTTATAATTGAAGACTTTTCATAACTTTTTTTTTATAATTTCCATTAGAAATAAAAGGCAGGCAAGTTAAAAAGAAATTCTGCAATGTGAGGAGAATAATTGCATTAAGTAACCGTATAAAACAATATAATCTTTATGACTATTACTATTATTATGTGACAATAGCTGCGAGAATGAGAAAATAGTAATTTCCACCCACTACCAACTTCCTCTAATGATGATGCATGATGATTAATAAGAAGAGATTAAAATGAAATAAAATTGCGCTTACCTTCCTTAATAAAGTGCAATTGCTGGAAGTAGATGGAAGAGTTGGTTTTGCAGGAGATTATTAAATAAATCTGCAGTTTAATTGGGCATTCTGTCAATCTTCTAAGGAACCCTCGATAGCTTGGTGGTAAAAGGTTGATTCTAAATGAAGGGAAATTGTAAAGACGCAGGTTCAATTCCTAATCGTGACAACTGTTTGAGTATTTTATAAGCTTAAAATATAAAGTTTTTAATGGGATCTTGGTGCATGGGCCAGTATAAACTCAAGATGCATTTAAAGCTACTGTTCCTAGGTCTTGAAGTATTAAGATAATAAGTTTAAATCATCCCTGATTGGCATATGGCCTATAAAAGTCTTAAAATGGTGGCACTTATCTGATGTGGAACTATATTTCTAGTATTCTTAAAATTTTCTATGCATGTGTAACTTTATTCCCCAAAATTTCCAACTCTGTCAAAACAAAAACTAATCTCTACAAAACTATCGCTTTTAAAAAAAAATTAAAGTCAAATAAGCGACGGATATAATCTATTAGCGATCTTAATATAATTAATATGATATATTATACGACACATAATTCAACAGTTTACACAATAAACATACACACCATCATAGTATGACTTCACTCATGTGACTTTAAAGCTCAACAAATCATCTATAAAATTTCATCAGACATTAAAAATCTTTCATTGATGGTGGAGGAAGTGGCAATTGTGGTGGTTTATGGAGGATAAGAGTTGGGATGTTGGAATTGAGTTAGATTTAATTTTGGAAAAATATGCTCAAAATGTCCTCAAATCTAAAGAAAAATCTCAAAAAAAAACATAAAATTCTATCAAAAATCTCAAAATAATTCCAACTCAATTCCACAAAATCCACGCTAACATCAATTCCAACATGCTTCTTTCCTCAACCAGCAAGATTAATTTCCAGCGATTGAAACATTTTGTGCAGTGCGATTTAATGTAATTTACAGTCATTCGTCAGTAGGTGTTTCATAAAATTTTCATTATATTTCTCTTCCCAGTCGATCAGTAACCAATGTGTGCACACACTGGCTCACTACTCATGACATTCAATTGATATGAGAATAAGATGTAAGTTGGATGAAGTGAAAAATAAAACTGAAAATATTGCATTTAATTCCTCGTTGCGATAAATCTCGGCAATTTCATCGTCACATTTCAGCATTAAAGTAAGTATACAATAATAAAAGTGCATTAAAAGTAGTCGTTTTATATACGAGAGCATTGTGGATACATGAAGAGTTAAGGCAGAAAAATAAGAAATGAGAAAAAAAAATGAGAAATGATAATCACTTGATATTTCAAATGAGCAAAGTGAATGAGAAGGAAAAATGTTCAAGGGATGGGTACTTTGTAGGGTAATTAAGTGACTTAAGAAGAGTTGTTAAGTCAAATAATAAGGCAAGCTGAACTAAAAAGTTGAACTGCATAGTCGAGCTGAACTCAAAAGTCGAGATGAACTCAAAAGCCGAGCTGAGTTCAAAAGTCGAGATTAACTCAAAAGTCAAGCTGAACTTAAAAGTCGAGCTTAAATCAAAAGCCGAGCTGAATACAAAAGTCGAGCTGAACTCAAAAGCCGAGCTGAACTCAACAGTCGAGCTGAACTTAAAATCGAGCTGATCTCAATAGTCACAAGAAGCTCTTATTCTTGACAAACTTACTAATTGCCAATAAATGTCGCCTTCCCTTGCCAAATCATGCATTAAATAAATTTTTCAGGTAGCTCTGGATTTTAATGAGAAAAGTATAAAATCTCTTTATAAAAATCACTTAATAAAAGTAAAAGTTGCGAGACGGCATTGCTGGGGTGATTTAATTTCAATTAATTAAACCAGAAAAAAAATTCATTTCGAAAAAGAAATTCTAATAACAGAAAAGCAAAAAAGAAGCAGAAAATTTTTATCACGAATATTAGAAAAAAAAACATTTTTGTAGCATTTAAATTCGATCTATAAATTACAGAGTTTTTTTTTTCATTTCAATAGCAATAAATCTAGCAACGGAAGTGCCTTGATCGAGTTTTATTTTTTTAAATTCACGACTCGATGCTTCGATTGTTTGTTAAATGATCTTTTTCATGCTTTGCTGATCATCAGAATATTCGAACGTAATATTTTAACCTTTTGATGTAGACATATAAACACAATGCATGAGCATTTACAGCACTCAAGTATCCCTCTATGTTTAATTTGTTGCTGTTTGCGACCCTAATTAAAAATAAATTTGAAATTTTGATGGGAAGATTGTTGATAGTGCGCATCAAAATTTCTGAATTAATTTCTGCTGAATTAAAGCCATATTTTGCTGAATTGAAGCCAACTTTTGCTGAATTAAAGCCATATTTTGCTGCATTGAAGCCATATATTGCTGAGTTCAAGCCACAATTTGCTGAATTGAAGCCATACATTGCAGAATCGAATCAAATTGGTCAGCAATGTTAAACTAGGGCGAACTCTCATACAAAATCTCCATACTTAAAATGAAATTAACTTTAACTCTTGACCTTATTTCCATCACTCAAAAAGTCACATAAACCATGCTCATACAGTTTCTATGATTACTGCATTGAACCTAACATTAACAACACAAAAATTATGAAAGTTCATAAAAGGGAGAAGAAAATTAGAAATAATTTGTTGGTAATCGATTTACATGCCCAATTTGGAATAATCGACAGTGTTCCTTACCCGGTAATTATCATCTAAACGAGCGATAAATTTTAAATTATTCGGTCATTACTTCTTAACTCAGTCATTCATTGTCAAATGTTATGCAATTCCGATTCACTTTTTAGACTTCCTTACGCGAGGGTTCGAATAACTTTTTGGAAATCGATTAAATTATTAAATATTTTATTTGTGTAGAAGGAAGTGGAAGTGCTTGTTGCGTGGGAAAGTCATTGAACCATAACAATTTCTATTATGATCAGTTATATTCAGTTCTGTTTTAATTTGAGGATGAGTACAAGGACATGACCGTCAATCAATGATTTGAGATAGACAAGAAGCCTACATTCAACACTTTGAGATGAAAAATGAAGTAAAAATTGCATGCAGAAGCTCATCATTGCCTTTCAGTCCCACACTCGTGCGTAGTTCAGTTTCAATCATTCATGCTGTTGCTAGCAATAACTCAGCAGCTACCACAGCTATAAAAATGATCATGATTTGAACAAATTTAGTCATTTGTTTTGTTAGTCAATCGACAAGCGACAGCAGTGGGAAAATAAATAAGAAGAAGAAGAAATTGAGGAAAGCAGCAACTGCATGGATAGATTTTGATGGTGATGATGACTGATGTGATTAATTGATGTGCAAAACGTTTTATCTGAAGCTTATTTTGATGACTCTAGCTTTCCATGACTAGGATTATCATGAATAGTCTGCCTTGGTATGATGACCAACTTTTAAGGCAGAACTGCTGAAACTTTAGACAAAAAACAATGAAAATTGATTTCAAAGTCTTCAAAATGCCTTGAAAAAGTTAACAAATTTATCAAAAAGTTAACAAAAAATGTGAAAACTGTCACCGACACTGACTGATGCAGCACATCCATTAAATTAATTTTTTGTCTATTTCTTCTTTCTCTTTTCATCAAAAGACTGAGTTGGTGTCTTTATTATGCAAATTTATTGCACAATTTTCTCTTCATCTTCTTTGTCATCGCTTGCAGCTTGCAGAAATCTTCATGACAATCCCAAAAAAGACATAATTAACATGTACAGCAAGACTTCATCTTCCATTTATCATAAAATTGCATTTATGACATTTTCTATGAATTTTAATTCCAATGGCTGCAAAAAAAACTTTTGTCATTACTTGCTGTGCTGCTCTATGCAGCAATTTGCCTTCATTTTGAATAAATTTAGACAAAAAAATTTCATTTGAATGAGCTCGGAAACTACTCGCAATGTGCTGAACAGAAAAGAAGCAACAAAATGAAATAAAATCACAAAAATGAGCAGAAGAAGCTCGTCATGCGCAATCCAGCGTGTCGAAAAAAATGAGAAATCAAGTCGCATGGAAATGAACAAGAGAGTTTTAGTTCCAATCGCGTGCTTCACTAAAATTTGTTGCTGAATGTGGAAAATGAATGAAAAATGAGTGAGAGTAATGTTGTCAGCAGTTACAGCCATTTTGAAAATTTTCAGGCATTGGAAAAACTTTGTTCTTGTTGGATTAATTTAAAAGGTACTTTTGGGGATTTTAAATGACTTTTTCAGGTTTTTCCGGTTTTTCTGAATTTTTTGAATCAAATCAATGAAAATAAAATTTCAAAAGCTGCAATAAGTCACAAAAAAATCGAACAAATGCTTAACTCTTAAATGGAAGCACCACATGTGGCCTAACCATTCAATAAATCTCTTTAATTCAAGCTAAACATTTACAAAAAGTAATGAAAATAAAATGAGCAGAAAAATTAAAGCTCAATAAATTTTCAAAATGAGACATCAATGTCAGTTTTAATTTATGCTGCACGAGTCTTTCTTTGATTCACAATGAGCAACAAATCATGTTAGATGCTTGGCATAATTAGTTTAATTATTTCACTTAATACTTCTGATTTGATCTTGGCTTAAAAACCGTTTGAGGTGTCATTTTAAGTTCTGTTGACATCGGCTCATACTTAAATGCATTGTTCCTTATAAAATAGCTTCTTATTCCTCTGCGGATCTATCTTAATTACTTTTTTGACACACTTATTTCAAGAATATACCAAAAAAACCTTTAAAATGCGTCACGCGATGCCAAATCCCAACGGAATCAATGCATCAACACCAAGAGCATCAAACAAAAAAAGCACAGCAATTTCCCGAACAAACATCAATTACGTTTTACGTCTCAAGCATGTATGGATGCAGAAGTAAACAATTAAAATGTTTTCGGAACCATAAAGAGCTGTAAATTGATCAATAATTGATGTATGGATAGAATGTAGGCACTGCGAGGTGTCTAAAATGGATTTTCTATTGATTTATTTATTTTCGGTGTTTCTTTCTTTGTTTTACGGCTGACATGGCAAGTCCTTGACCCAATCAGCTCTGCCTTTTGTTGTTGTCGATGAAAGAATGCTTGCAAAAAACATTCCACTCAGCTGCTACTTGCTTGTAGCTGCTGCTCTTGTCATTAAATTCTCTCATTCAAATTATTTGAATTGCTATTCATGTAAATTTAAGTCACACATATGCAGTCACTCAGTTCAATAGCAAATAACATTATTATATTGAGAGCTTAGGTGAGGTGATGGAGATTTATTGGACGATATTAAAAAACAATTTAAAGAAGGCGATTGAGAGACGGCGATTGAGACATTTGTGGCTTGTGAGAGAAAATCTTTTGCAAATGACTCAACATGCTGAAGAAAAATATTTCTTAATGACTCATTTGCTGCTGCTCCTGTTGCCTGGCGCTGATTTTTTGCTTCTTAATGATCGAAAATGTTGTCAAAAATCATAAAAATTAATAATTTTTGTTATGGACGGAGATTGGCTGAGACTTAATTAATTAATTGCTTAATTTTGGAATAGGAAAATGAAGCGAGTAATGAATGATTATAACAAATTGGTATGCATTGTGTTGAACGCTTATTTATCAATTTGACAGCGAAGGATTGGAGGTTGAGGACTGGTTATTACATATGATTCAAGAGCAAAGCTAGGAGAAGATCGAATTCGTATGAAAAATTCAGGCTCGAAAACTAGGCGAAAACTATACCTCCTATATGAAATACCTCCAAATACCGCCTAGTTTCCGAGCCTAATGAAAAACTGACCCCCTTCTTAAAAATTCTCTTAAAAAATATCCAAAGTGCCTAAACCATGTCTTCAGTCAAAATGCATTTAAACTTTTGATAAATCAGCTTTGAAAAAAATAGTTCATTGAGGTTGAATTTCACATGAGATTTTATGTCCAAGATTAACATTGCAGTAATTTAATTTTATATACATTTTCGTTCCTATTTACTATTATTATCTGCGATAATTGTATGCATCGAGTGAAAAAAAAAAGTAATTAAAACAATATTCAAATAGTCGACTAGAGTGGCAGCCAATGGCGATTTAATAATCTATGAACGTAATTAAAAATGAAGTGAGTTTAGTTGTGTGCCTATATGCGACTATAACATGTAAAGAGTCATAAAAAATTGTAAGCAAATATCATAAATATTCCATGCGTAATTTCTGTCTATTAATTTATGAGTTGCTGCCGCCAATCATTTGGATATATAAACATTTTCATGTAGATTAAAGTCATTGAATTTATTTTTATTTATTTTGTATTTCTTTGCATTCCTACAATTTAATTATCTTTCCTCCTTCCAAGCTGTCAATGTATCTCATTTTATTGAATACATTTTGCTGTAAGGCACGTGGCATATTTGCTGTTTTTTAAGGATCTGTCGATACTATTATGCTTTACTTATAGTGTTTTTGTTCGAAGTCATGTTTACCTTAGAATTATTTTTTTAATTTTTGTTTGAAAATGTGAGCGTGTCATGTAGATATTATGTATGCATTTAGAACAAACAGCTGATGACCCATCAATTTTTTAACATGCAGTTTAGTCTGTTTTAATAAATTAGAGACTTTTAGAATCGATTTGAGTGAGACATGTCATTGATGTTGTGGCAGGAACGCATTTTAAGGGAACGAGGAATTTTAGATGATGGGGTCTAGGGACACCAACTTTTGACCTTAAAAATTCCTTACAATTTTTCTGACAACACTTCCTTTGACAGAACATCTGCCCTCTCTCGCAAAATTCAGGATAACGAAATTTTGGACCTTCGGAATCCACCTCTTAATTGTTACAAATTTTACGAACCACCCCAAGCCAAAATAACCTCAAAAATACCTTCAAAAAACAATGACTCACCATCAACATGCAAACACAATTTTTTCCATAAATCCTTTTATTCTTTATTATCTTTTTTCAAAAGAAGACGATACTCATTTCATTTAATTTTTATGCGGACGTTCATTAACCTCAAAAAAATAACCATCTGCGAGTAAAAATTTTTGGAATTTCATTTCAATCTGCTTTTTTCCCTTCATAATTACGTTGATGGTCCTGTTGTTGTTATTGTTTCCCTTTACGTACAGCAAAAAGTTTAACACTCTTTAATGATAATAATGGAAATTGACTTTAGACACGCAATGTTGCGATGAATTTTTTTGGGATTCAGGGGGTGGATATGAGTGTTGATTGATGTTGTTTGCTTAATTAAGTTGTTTGGTACTTTTGTGCTTCGAAATTACAGTATGAAATTGTAGTTTTCTAGGTTTTAGTTTTGAGGTTAGGATTTCAATTTGTGGACTTAAAATAAAATTTTAGGTAAGATTCTGAATTTAAAAGAGTAGATTATGAAACTAGAGGTAAGTTCCTAATGTTTGAGGTTAAATTCTGAATTTTGAGGTTAGATCCTGATTTTTGAGGTTAT